AAATGCACACATGCTTGGGTTTGGATATTTCTAGAGTGTACACCAGCAGCTGGTACTGATGACTGCCTCAGGGTAGGGTCTGGGGAATCAAGGGTCTGCAGGTCTGCAATGAAAGGGATACTTACTTTTCCTTTTTCTATTTATTGTAGTGCCTAAATCTTTTAATCAGGTCCTTGTATTACTTATTCAATTAAAAAAAGAGCTAGTTAAAAGGAGTTAATTTTAAAAATTACTGTGCAATATGAGCAAAAGAGGTCAGTGGATATTTAAATTGCCTAACTGCAAGGAGATAAGGCAAAATGAACAGACTTCTTTTTTCCTTTTCTTTTCTTTTGCCTCATTCTCTAATGTGAGATCAAGGGGGCACCTGATGGAGTTAAGAATTGGGAAATGAATAAATCAAAGGAAATAGCTTTTTGCACAGCATGTAGCTAGTCTAAGGAATTTACCGCCACAGGCAGTCATAGAGTCAAATATTGTGGCTGGATTTTTTTTTGGAAGTCTGGTCACTATGACCAGTCATAACATTTGTAGTTATGCAAGAAAAGATAAGGATAATCAAATCTGATGGTGCAGGATGTAAGCTGATCATTGCAAAGGAAGGAATTTCTCCCCAGCCTCCCTTCTTTTTTGGCTTCTCCCAGTGCCTCAGAATAACATTACACAATTAGCTAGGTCTGCTTTGAAGAGCTGACAGTACTTCCTCTGAATCATTAGGTATTATCCACAGCCAAGGGAAGGATTCCAGACCTGACAGAGCAGCAAAGCTCGTAACTCTTTTTTTGCACCCAGAGCGATGGCCCCTTCAGTTCCAAGTTCAGCGTTTTGGCAGGACAGCCCTCCTGCTGCTTTGCTCCTCCTGCCATTCCCAGTGAAGAACATGTTCAAAGGGAAATAATGGGTTTCAGCTCTTCTCCCGTTGAGCTGGCACTCTCGTATAAACAACAAATCCAAGATTATTGAGGAACTGAATAGATATTCAGGAAATAATTCATGCTTTTTTCTCTTTCTCTTTCCTTCTTTGGCTCTGACTAGTAATGAATCCCTCCACCAGGGGGTAGACAGAAGACATAAAAGAAACCAGCACTGACCAATCTCATTTAGGCCCCAGTAACAGATTTCACATTGTTCTAGATCTCATTCATCCATATAACCCAAGAAATGCTGCACCCATGTACTGTCTTATATTTTAAGATCAAGAGTAGGATGTATCAAATTGACTTCGATTTGAGCAAGTAAGTAGAGTGTAGAATAGTATAGTATGTCAACATGAGCCAGGTAAATTGCGTTAACTAAAATCTACTGCAGATGAGTCCATTCTATTCCTTCCATGTGACTAGTTCAAAGGCAAAACTTTTAGTGTCCAGTCACATAAATAAGAGGACCTTCTTTTTAAAAAGTTTCTTCCCCATGTTATGGAAGCTGGCAACAGGCAGGCAGGGTATGTCTGTGTGCATGTATATGCATGGAGGGTGAATGTCCTTCCCTTTTCTGTCAGCCAGCAGCTGGATGACTCCGAGACAACACAGTCAGTGATCTCAGGCCCATCTGGTGGCCACACACAGGGACATGGCCTCTTGCTTGTCCCCCAGACAAGATTCAAAACAGTGACCCAAACACCCAAAGTTCCAGGAGAAAATTTGTATCATTTTTGTTTGGCTAAATTATGTGTTTAGAAGTTCCAACAGAATTTTTAAAAACATCTCTTATTACATTTAATTATAATTTTAAGGTCATTTCTTTGCTACTCAAACTCATTGACACCATGTACAACCTTACCTTTGAAGCTTTTTAGGAGACCCATGTTACTTCCAGCTTTGTCCAGTAGACATTTCTGCAGTGGTGGAAGTGTTCTAGATCTGTGTTGTCCAATATGGTAGCCACTAGCCATATGTAACCATTGAGTACTCGGAATGTGGCTAATGTGTCTAAGGAACTGAATGTTTAATGTGACTTAATTTTCACTGACTTATAAGCAACAGTGCCACCTGAAGTTTAGCTTTCGTATATCCTCAGCCCATTTTTACCTTAGCATCCTAGCAAACATTCAGAAGTGACATGGCCATTTTCTTCCTTCTGGGATAGAGCATTGGCTCTCTTTATTGTCATGAAGATCTTTGAAAGCAATAAAAAGATATAATTGGCCGGGCATAGTGGCTCACACCTGTAATCTCAGCACTTTGGGAGGCCAAAGAGGGTGGATCACCTGAGGTCAGGAGTTCAAGACCAGCCTGGCCAACATGGTGAAACCCCATCTCTACTAAAAATGCAAAAAATTAGCTGGGTGTGGTGGCGCACACCTGTAATCCCAGCTACTTTGGGGGCTGGGGCAGGAGAATCTCTTGAACCTGGGAGGTGGAGTTTGCAGTGAGCTGAGACGGAGCCACTGCACTCCAGCCTGGGCAACAAGACCGAGACTCGTCTCAAAAAAAAAAAAAAAAAAAAAAAGAGGATATAATTTTGCTGTTTTCACACAGCTTTAGGAAAAGTGACACAGACTTTTCATTATGCAAAGGCTACAGTTTTTACTCAGATTCTGTCATAGGGCCTGTGTTGATACCTGATATCCCAATGGTAACCTCAACCTGCAACAGTAGTGAGGCTTTGTTCTCTAAATGGTGTAACCCATAATTTTAGACAATAATAAAAGTTTAAAAATCTAATTTTTGCACAGCCAAGAATAACATGGGGTACTAGGAAATTCCATCAGCAAGCCAGGCAACTTCTTGGCATCAGGGATTGTGTCTTTTATCTGTTTCCTTAGTTCTAGCATAAATTTTAATAAGTGCTTCTCAGATGAGTGGTTTAGTATGTGAGTGGATGAATAAATGTGTCTCAGAAGTGATGCTTCTGAGACAAAAGTGATGCTTTAATAACATAACATTAAAGAAGCCTCTCATTAAGGCTCCTGGTACTCTAGCAGGTATCTTTATTAGCAGATAAGTTATGGAAAGACACACTGTAAGAAATAGTATTTTGGGCTCATGAAAGAACTCATATAAAAACATTGAAAATTCATCTATGACTAGTTTGGGTAGTTTGAAGAATAAGTGGTACCCTATGCTTATAAAGTATATGGGTCCAGAAAAAAGTTTTTTTTCACACAAAAAAAATGTATTTCTGTCTGCATTTATTTATGACAATTAATATCATCTTTCCTGGTCGTGCCTTTTCACCTTGCTCTGCCTTTGCCTTATGCTGACACACACATGGCATAGTCAGCTGCCTTCCTTCCTTGACTCCTGCTTTAAAATTATTACAGTCAGGTGTATTAAATTACAAACTAAGAGCCTTCCTTTCTGCTTTAAGATGCTTTACAGGATAACCTCAACTTTTCCTTATCCCTGTCTCCTTTCTTCATTGTTATCAAAATGATCCATCAGTGTCTTTTTTTTTCTAAATAACTGATTAAAGTTGATTACATTAAAACCATATATCACTTTTATATTGCATTTGCCTTTTCTGAACGATACAAAGTAGAGGCAAATAGAGACACTTCATAAAAATGTGGGTTTCCCATTCCTTTCCCTAAGACCCAGCCCTCCCTCAAATATTCCCTCCCACCCCTTACAGAACTCTGTCCTTAATAAAACACTTAAATACATCATAAATAGTAAATTATGAAAAAAATTAGCAAGAATTGTTTCTTTCCTTCTTGTAAAAAAGAACATGGCAGCAAAGACAGGCCGCCAGAAACTGACTGGGGGTATCTAATATAAAAAGTTATTTGGGGTATGGGCTAACCTACTATCAAGGCAGGGTGGGATAGAGAAGGGGTAGAACAGGAATTCAACAATCTGCCTGAGATACCAGGCCCCCTTCTTCTCCTGACAACAGTGGAAGGATCAGATGGAAAACCACAACTCTTGTAGATGGGGAGGAGAGGACATATGTAGCCCCCATTTCCAACTTCTCTGCATGAAGACAGGGGGGTAGGACATATGGCATAGCAATGACCTCACCGAGGCAAGAATCCACTGTCTGCTCTTGAGTTTAAGAAAATATTTGCTGGCCTCATAGATACGGACTGCCTGTTAAACAGACCGAGGTGTCCCCTCTTCACCTTAGCACCACAAACAGGAGAACACTGTTGGAAAAGATGGAAAGAGCAAAAAAATCTCCTTTGGAGAATGATCTAAAATTCACTTGGTAAGTCTTCATATTTTAGAAAAGCAACCAGAATATATTTCAAATTGCAAAACAGTAATAATCATTACAGCCTGGCAGTGAATAGGATTCTGCCTAGGAAGGGCTATGATCTCCCAACCCATGGCTGCCTCATGTTTTAACAAAAGGGGTAAAGATTACCCCACGTCCCACTCTCTCCATTCCTTCAGCCTCAAGAAATTCATCAAGAGAGGAGTAGTTTAAAGAGGTGCTGCTTCTGGCAGAGCAATCACTACTTTTCTCTTCACAAACACCGTGGCTCTTCTGAGGGAACCCTACGAATAGGCATCTCATCAACACTTCTGGAGTTTTTATCTGAAACTGGCTTGAAATGTTGTGCTGTGTGCTTTTTCCTTTTTTCAGGGGGAAAAAAAGTTGGGAGGTGGTTAAACACCCCTATCCCCCAAAAACCTTCACAGAGATTACAGGGGTCTTCTTCCAGGGATCAGAGAGAAAGAGGTGGGGATAATGTGCCAGCTAGTCTGTCCTGAGGAAATTAAGAGTCCAGTTCCTGGTGAAAGATGAGGGGAAAGAAAACTGCCAAGTCTAGTAATCTCATTTCCAGCATGAAGAATGGGGGTCTGAAAAAAATTCAGTTGTGGAAGCCAAGGTTAGCCAGTTGAAAATCCGTGCCACCTAACTCTGGAGTGGAGGGGATGCTGTGGTCCTCAACTGTCCCAGGCACTAATGCCCATTCATGAGGACAGAGAAGAGGAGGAGGCTCTTCTTCAGGAAGAAGATGGAGAGCCTACCTCGCTTCTTTTACACTCCTTTTTTGATGACCAAGTAGAAGAAAATTCCACATTACTGGGGCAAGGGCTGACATCTTGGGATCACAGAGAGGCAGAATCTCGTTCCAGGTCTTCTGAGGCTTTGCGCTTAATGGGTGAACTCTGACTCTGCACGTTCAAGTTTTCCAAGGTTGTACTTGTAGTTAGCATATGCAAAGTCTCTCCAACTACAGGTGAGAAACTGGGCTCAGTAATAGGTGAGCCCTCACTGATTTCCTCCAAAGGAGGATTCTGCGGTAAAACATCAGGACGACCAAGGTGAACTCCTGGCTCCACTTCTGCCTTTGTTGTCACTTGTGCCTTGTGTTCCCCAGAGACCAGTGGCTGGTAAGTAATGCAGGAGTTGCCACTGGAGCCCGTACGCCGAGAGAAAGATGAGCCAGTCCCAAACTTTTTGGAAGGAGAAGGCTTCAAGGGGATCTTCTTAAATACTGCGTTGCACATGAAGCGCTGGAACCGTTCAGCGTAGAAGCCTGGGTTGTGCACTGAGACAGTGTCCCCGTCATGTACCAGGGCTTTCCAAGAGTGCTCCAACTTCTTAAGACATGTGTAAGACTGTAGAATGTCAATGATGCCAATATAAAGCAGAAGCCTTTCGCCTTTACTACTCTGAGCAGGGATGCCACCCATATGGTCATCGGTCTCCATGGTGTCGCCCAGGCGAGCCTCTCCCTGGATGGATTCCATGGCTGTGGAGTACAGAACCTTTTGGGGGGTCAGTCTTTGAGTGTCAACTGACACTTGAAGGGTGTCACTGCTTACGGGCTCTCGTTGTGCATGATCTATATTGTGGATTGACAGCAAGAGGCTATAGTCCATTATCTTGAAGCTCTGCAGCACCAAACAGTCACGCTGCAGGGTCTTACAGAGAGCATTGTACATGTCAGCATCCAAAAAAAGACCATCAGGGGTGTCTTGTAAGAAGTCTAGGTCTTTAAATGTGGGAAGAGGCTTCTCTCGCTCTTTCTGGGAAGCCCGGCGTTTGTAGGTTGAGCCTTTGAGGTCATATTTGGTATGCATTTTGACTGATCTTGGTAAAAGATTGTTCATCACCACAATCCGAATGTTCTTGCCACCTGCCTGCACACAGTACAGTCCATAGAATTTAGGCAACAAAGTCCGAGGGTTCTGGTTGAGGTTCAAGTAGTATCCTGGAAGCAGCTTCTGCAGAAACTCCGCCTCTTTATGTTGGACTGTCTTAATAATGAAGTCATCGTCGCTGGACACATAGAACAGGGAACCACTAGCTCCAGAGCTACAGAGTTCAATCAGCGGCTCACTGCAGAGGGAGCACAAGTAATCATCCGGCGGAATACCAAATAGCTCCCGAAAGTAGCGGAAGGCAACAGGTGCATAGGTCTTGAAACGAAAGTCGTCGTAGTGATGAGCAGGGGTCAGCTTGCTCCCTTCACTGGGGAAGAAGATACTCTCCACTACGTAGAAATCTTGCATGAGGACATCACGCTCCGGTTTGGTACTCAGGCTGCCCACTGTGTGAGTGATGCCTAACTGGATGGCACCTTTCAAGGCTGAAGAGGGTGTCTTTTTATATGTTGTCTCTCCTGAGGAATCGACACCTCGATGGCCTGTTTTCTTGATGGGCATGCCAGAGGCATAAAGCACCTCGGATGCTATGGGGCTCTTGATTCCAGACGCTGAGGACGCGGTACAGGAAGGGACTCCGGGATCCAAGGATGGAAAACCGACCGTCAACGACGGCTGGGAGGAGGTGGACGCCATCTTGGCAGCGCCCTGCCCCCCACAGCCGCCTGGTTCTCTTTCCACCCGGCGCTTCCTCTTCTCGGAATCGAATCTTCTCCACGTCTCTTTACAGAACCCGTGTTCTGCGGGCCACCTCCCTGCCCCCTCTGGGGGCCTCCACTCAGACAGTGGAGCCGGGCGACCTCCCTTCCTCCTCTGGAGCCTCCCTCCAGACCCGTGGGCCGGGCCACCTCCCCGTCCCCTCTGGGGCCTCCTCAGACCCGTGGAGCGGGTCACCTCCCCACCCCCTCTGAGGCCTCCTCAGACCCGTGGGCCGGGTCACCTCCCGCCTCTGGGGCCTCCCTCAGACCCGTGGGCCGGGCCACCTCCCGCCCCTCTGGGGGGCCTCCCTCAGACCCGTGGAGCCGGGCCCACCTCCCCGCCCCTCTGAGGCCTCCCTCAGACCCGTGGGCGAGGCCCACCTCCCCGCCCCTCTGGGGCCCTCCTCAGACCAGTGGAGCCGGGCCACCTCCCCGCCCCTCTGGGGCCTCCCTCGAACCGTGGGCCGGACCTCCCGCCCCCTCGATCCTCCCTCAGACCGTGGGCGGGCCACCTCCCGCCCCCTCTGGGGCCTCCTCCAGACCGTTGGGCCGGCTGCAGGACCGGTCAAGGCCGCACCGTTCGCCTGGCATGGGGAGAACTCCGCCGCGCACCCCTCCACAAGTGTAACCGCTTTCGCAGGAGACCTTCCCCTTCTAGGGATTAAGCTCAAGCTGGCTGCTTGGACACTGCGTCAGGACCAAGCCATCTAAGAAAAAAAAACCATCGTGAGGCATGAAAAGTCCAGAGAAGTGGCGCCGCCTCTCTGTCCTCCTAACCACGGCCTGTTTATCGCCCAACCCAGCCGCTTCCGCCATCAGTTTTCTTTTTTTTTTTTTTTTTTTTTTTTGAGACGGAGTTCGCTCTTGTTGCACAGGCTAGAGTGCTGTGGGATCTCAGGTCACGCCTCTCTCCCGGGTTCAAGCGATTCTCCTGCCTCAGCCTCCCAAGTAGCTGGGATCACAGACATCGCCCTACGTCAGGTAATTTTGTATTTTTAGTAGGGATAGGGTTCACCATGTTGGTCAGGCTGGTCTCGAACTCCTGCACCTCAGATGATCCACCCTCCTCAGCCTCCCAAGCGCTGGGATTACAGGCGTGAGCCGTGCCCAGCCCATCATGGTTCTTTCACCTCATCAACCCACATTCCTACCTAAGCCTTTTTTTTTTTTCAAGTTGCACCTAATGACTTGAATGCCCTATCATCTCTGTCCTCTAGCCTCACTTCTCTTTTTTTTTTTTTTCAAGTTGCACCTAATGACTTGAATGCCCTATCATCTCTGTCCTCTAGCCTCACTTCTCTCTTAGTCTCAGAAACACACTTGAAATTCCAATTCATGTGTAGAAGCTTTCTCAAACAACACTTCAGTGTGTCATGGAAGAAAGAACTCAGAGCTCTAGGAAGTGTGATAACTGATTTAAGAATCTGCTTGTGCCACTAGCTGATTGTATGATCTTGGATAAGTTACTCCACATCCCTGGGGCTCTGTTACTGCCTCTATGAAATGGGGAGGGAGGAGTTTAGATGAATTTACATGATCCTTCCATACTCTAAAACCTATGGAATTAAGGAATAATATCTATTCCCTACCATCCTGTCAAAACCTGTGATAATGACATGCTAACAAATAATGCCACAAATATATTCTCTTATGAGACAGAAAAATTGTACACTTAATTTATATGAAATTCATCATGTGTGCTGCTATGCCCCCAGCATACTACCATGATTGGACAAGTAGTTGTGATAATAAAATATTTATAATGGGGATTTGCTTTTGTTTATGGCAGACTACTCAATTTAAACCAACCTTCCTCAGAGAACAAATTTTTTAAAAAACTTGGTTGGATACATTGGAGTCCTAAGAAGTTAATGAATAATTAGTACTGAGATCTGGGAAAAGAAAGAAGTACAGAGAGGTGAGCATCTGGGCCCACTGTTTCCTTAGGGACCTCTGCATGTTCCATTAGAGGTAGCTGAGAATCTGATAAGCTTAGCAGAGTTTTTGACAAACTCAGTGGACTAGGGAACAAAAAAACGGAGTTTGGGGTCTGATACAGCAACAGTCTGGCAAACCTCCCAAAACTTTGGATTGGGACCCTGAAAGGCTATATAGCATGGGAGTAAATGTGTATAGAAGTAGACCATCCCTCACAGACACGGCAATTCAGCTGTGAATCACCTCAATCCGTGGTGGGATCAAGATTGGTAATATCCCTAGATGTCTATAAAGAGCAAATTTATATTCCTCTTTGTAGAAATATATCATTGTCCTAGCCCTTAAATTCTCTCTCAGTTTTTATGTGTACTGTCCAGAATTCAGGCAGTCATTATTATATGCATAAGGAGTCAAGACAATGTGATTGAATACCAAGAGAAACAATAGACAATATAAATGGACTCACAGGGGATCCTGCCATATCTCAGTAATGTCATTCTCTTATACAGATTTTAAAGTAACACTGACTAATATATTTAAAGAAATAAAAGATGAGATTGGCAACTTAAGCAGGAACTAGAAATGCTATAAAAGAACAAAGTTCTACAACTAAAAATTATGATAACAGAAGAAAAACTCAATGGACAAGATTTATGGCAGATCAGAGACAGCTAAAGAGAGAAGGAGTGGAGTAGGAAAATCTGAAGAAAATATGTAGAATGAAGCACAGAAAAATAAAAGTTCAGAAGATACATAAAAGAGGCTGGGTGCAGTGACTCATGCCTATAATTCCAGCACTTTGGGAGGCTGAGGTGGGTGGATCACTGAAGGTTGGAATTTGAGACCAGCCTAGCCAACATGGTGAAAACCTGTCTCTACTGAAAGTACAAAAATTAGCTAGACATGGTGTCAGGCACCTGTAAGCTACTTCAGAAGCAGAGACAGGAGAATCGCTAGAACCTGGGAGGCAGAGGTTGCAGTGAGCCAAGATTGCACCATGGCACTCTAGCCTAGGTGACAGAGCAAGGCTCAATCTCAAAAAAAAAAAAAAAAAAAAAAGAAAGAAAGAAAGGGAGGGAGAAAATAAAGAACATACATAAAAAGTAAAAGATAGGGAATACAGTGAAAGAACATAACGTATAGTCCTGGAAGGAAAGGAGAGAGAAAATGAGACAGAAGCAACATTTCAAGGGATAATGGCTAAGAATTTTTCAAAATTGATGAAAGACTTATAGTTCTAAGAATCATTGTAAACCTCAAGTAAGATAAATAAAAACTGATAGTAAAATTCTGCTGAAAGGCAAAGAGAAGATTTAAAGCAAACCAAGTGACGGGGTAGGTGAGGAGAGATTATCCTCGAAGAATGAATCATAAGACTGACGGCTAACTTCTTGACAGAAATAATAGAAGACAGTAGAATAAAGTCTTTGAATTTTGGAATTCTATCCCTAGCAAAAACAACTATCAAGAATGACAAGGAAACAAAGACATTTTCAGGTAAACAACAGCTGAGAGAATTTACCAGAAGCATCCCTGTAATGAAGGGAACACCAAAGAACATTCTCGGACAAGAGAAAAATGACTAATTTTTTAGAGATGGGGGAGGAAATGGAGAGCAAGAGAAATGGGGTAAATAAATGAGTAAATCCAAATGAATGTTGTTCTTCAAAAAATGATATTAATGCTATGCTTTGGGATTTAAAAACATAATTATTTAAAGTCTCAACAAAAATGAGGAGGGATCTAAACAAAATTAAAGTATTATAAAGTCGTTTGCATTTTGAAGTAAAAGTGTTAATGATGTTAGCTTCTTTTTATAAAATTAATTTTTTTTTTTTTTTTCCAGTAAGAGTCTTGCTCTGTTGCCCAGGCTGGAATGCAGTGGTCTGACCTTGGCTCACTGCGACCTCTGCCTCCCAGATTCAAGCGATTCTCCTGCCTCAGCCTCCCAAGTAGCTGGGATTACAGGCACTCATCACCATGCCAGGCTAGTTTTTGTGTTTTCAGTAGAGATGGGTTTCACCATGTTGGCCAGGCTGGTCTCAAACTCCTGGACTCAAGTGATCCACCCACCTTGACCTCCCAAAGTGCTGGGATTACAGGCATGAACCACCGTGCCTGGCCTGCATGGTGTAATTTCTATAACTAAAAAGTAGTGGAAGATAATAAAATGCCAACCTAATGGGAGAAAATTATTTTAAAATACCAACTTAATTCAAAAGAAAGCATAATGGAAGGGGGAAGGAGGTACAGGAGAAGGAACTAGAATAGGCAAGAGAAGCACGAAGCCTAGGAGGATGTAAACCCTAATATGTCAAGACATACGTTAACTACATAGCAACTAAATGCTTTTATTTTTATATATATATATTTTTTTTTATACTTTAAGTTCTAGGGTACATGTGCACAACGTTCAGGTTTGTTACATATGTATACATGTGCCATGTTGGTGTGCTGCACCCATTAACTCGTCATTTACATTAGGTATATCTCCTAATGCTATCCCTCCCCCCACCCCCACAATAGGGACCCGGTGTGTGATGTTCCCCTTCCTGTGTCCAAGTGATCTCATTGTTCAGTTCCCACCTATGAATGAGAACATGCGGCATTTGGTTTTCTGTTCTTGCGATAGTTTGCTGAGAATGATGGTTTCTAGCTGCAACCATGTCCCTACAAAGGACACGAACTCATCCTTTTTGATGGCTGCATAGTATTCCATGGTGTATATGTGCCACATTTTCTTCATCCAGTCTGTCACTGATGGACATTTGGGTTGATTCCAAGTCTTTGCTATTGTGAATAGTGCCGCAATAAACATATATGTGCATGTGTCTTTATAACAGCATGACTTATAATCTTTGGGTATATTCCCAGTAATGGGATGGCTGAGTCAAATGGTATTTCTAGTTCTAGATCCTTGAGGAATCGCCACACTGTTTTCCACAATGGTTGAACTAGTTTACAGTCCCATCAACAGTATAAAAGTGTTCCTATTTCTCCACATCCTCTCCAGCACCTGTTGTTTCCTGATTTT